AATAAAAGAACTATGAATTCCCTTCTTTATTCCGTGAAACTGGTTTTATAGATACTTTGGTTTACAGTTGCTAAAAGCAGCAGCGTTTTTTAGAGGATACCACATGCCACTGCAGCCTTGGATGGAAATTTTCTGTTTCTCGTCCTTGCCAGTTCATTAAAATGAGTTCTAAGATGAAACAGAAATGGTAATTTCAAAGTCAGGGATACACTGCCTCTTTGAACTACATATAATCTGTTTGCCTCCACCTCCTTTATATTCACAGCACAGCATACAAGCTAGTTGTACTCTGGTTTGCATGAATTTGTTGGGTGTTTTTTTTTCTGTTGGATGTGTTTGCTTTTCCTTTAAAAAAAAGTGCTGTTCCCAAATACACTCTTCTCTCAAAGAAATGCACTCAGAAAGTCATTTCAAAGTCATCCTGAGCTCCTTCTCAAAATAACAAAGATGTATTTACTTATTGTAATAGCTAAGTGATGGTGATGTTCATCATTACAGCTTTGCACGTGTCTGATCTCATACTTTGCTACGTGACAAAAGATGGGGAGACCCCAGAAGGCCTGTAACTAGTTCCCAGTGGAAAATCCTTTGGATGTGATTTTGTTCTTAATTAAGACACAGAAATTTAGGTCTCTGCCTGTGAACTTGGTATCCAAGCTTTCACTATAGACAGTAGATGTCTACAACTCAGCTGCTGGTGCCATTTGAGATACCCTAGAGTCTTGTGGACTTGCCCAGGTCTACAGCATGGTTTACCTGCACCCTTCTAGAGCAACAACTGGGGGCCCACCCGGGGTCCCCACGGCATCAAAACTGATGTTCAACACCACCCATGTGGGTGACCTGTCAGCAGGGCCCAAAAGACAGTTCACATGATCAGCTGCTAGGAGCTAGGGTTGAATTCAAGACTAAGACATGCAGGTGTAGGTGCCTCCATGGGTGCACACACTGTAGTCTGCCAACACCTGCCTCATACAGGCAGTGGAGCTCACTTAAAGGGCTGTCCACCTGCTAGGCATTAAGTTTAGACCAAGCTGAACGCACTGTAGGCTCCATTGGCTGTGCAAAGTGGGAGTTTGATTCAGTTGCCCATACAGGGACCAGGTAAGCAAAGTGGCCTCCAGGTGCTACTCCAGAAGGGCAGGTTATCTCCGAGAGCTTCTTCTGTTTCTTACTGCCCTGTGCAGATGCTGAGGGCATTCTGGGGCATCTCAAATCACACTAGACATCCCTGTATGGGCAGTCCTGCAGTCAACACTGACCATGATGTGCATGAGAAACAGGTGCCTACAGGGCTGGGACAGCCACAGATTGACAGGAATCTGTTGAGTTTCTTTGCCAGTGAAGGTGGTTCAAGCCCCCAGCTTCACAAACCTCCCACCCACGGCCTCTAAGTGGGCACACGATTGGAGATCAAGAGATTCCTAATTCTGTGGCTTTGGTCAGCCATTTAATCTGTTTTAGCCACCAGGAACAGTCCCAGTGACGGTCCTACAGTTGCACATGCAACATGAGAAATGCTTTCACAGTAGAGAGGAGGAGATGTTCTGGATGGACACCAAAAGGACACCACAAGGCAGTTGGACTGGTATCTTATGTGGGTCTCCTTAGGTGGGAAATGAGAGTGCCGCTGCTGTTAGATCATGTGTAATCCCTTAAACCCCCAAGTCCTGCCAGTAACAGGGTGGGTGCTGCTTATTTTCTTTCTAAGTGGCATCTAAATGAGCAGTAGAGCTGGGGAAATTGTATGACTTCCTAGAATATCACGAAGGCAGTATGCAACAGGATTAGGGAAAGATCCAGTATCCTATTATTGGGTCATAAACTGTAAAAACAATCAATCAAACAAACAAACAAACAAAAACCCTCAAGATACCAAACTTTATAATGAAAATCTGAAAATCAAAGCTATGGAGAATTTGACTGTAAAATGGAAAATTGAAAATTACCTCATGCCAGAAGGTCCCAGGTAATGGGTTATGGAGCTTGGGGAAGGTATATCATGGCACAGCTGTTGGCTGTGCCAACCAGGCTACCATCCATTCTGAATTAATGGCAATTCCAAGGACACCATCCACCCTTAAACTTTGCTGTACAACTGTTGACCTCACAAGACTCCCTCGTCTCATTTTACAGTATGTCTCTACAATCAAGTAAAAGATGTCTAAGACCAATCCCTGGCCCTGAGGCTAGAGAGAAGTGACCTAGAGAGTTAGGAAACATGTCCTGGAGAAAGCAGTTGGAGGGGTCCAAAACCAAACCAGGAGTTAAAATTATCCAGTGTCATGCAGTGCAATGCAATGTCTCACTCTCTATAGCAGTATTTACATTTAAAATTTTATAAAATTGTATTATTTGTAAAATATTTTATATTTAGCAGTATGAACGTATGGTTATGAACCATATGTTCCGCTTGTCCAAAGCACATTAGATTGTCATATCAGTGTCTTATCTTGCGGTGTCAGCAGGTTTTCAGAGCTTGTTGCAAACTCACTTTTCACATTTTCATTCGAAGGAGTGGTGTCTAGACCCCCTGGATTTTTGGGGCAACCTAAGTTGAAGGCACTCACAGGGGATCTATATGTAATAATTTGCTCAGAACTGAAAAGGCAATAGAGTTCCTGCAGCTCCTCAAGAATAAGGTGATGAAGACAAAATAGAAGGAGAATGGGGGAGATTTCTGACATAAATATTTCTCCCATGCCCAGTGCTGTCAGACCTCCCAGAGCTCCCTTCTCCAAGGTGATAATCAGTGGATGATGCAATTAATTCCAGGGACTGCTGTTAAAATGGTCACGTATATAGAGATCATAGAATCACAGACTGGTTTGTGTGGAAGGGACCTTAAAGCTCATCCAGTTCCAACCCCCCTGCCATGGGCAGGGCCACCTTCCACCAGCCCAGGTTGCCCAAAGCCCCATCCAACCTGGCCTTGAACCCTTCCAGGGAGGGGGCAACCACAGCTTCTCTGGGCAGCCTGTGCCAGGGCCTCACCCCCCTCACAGGGAAGGATTTCTGCCTTAGATCTCATCTAGATCTGCCCTCTGTCAGTTCAAAGCCATTACCCCTTGTCCTACCACTACATTGTAAAAACTCTCTCTCCAGCTTTCCTGTAGGCCCCCTTTAGGTGATATATAGATGATATAGATGGCGATATGTAATTGGCCACAGGACAGAGCAATGTAACACAGACGACCTGATTTACATCCTTGAGTGAAGAAGCTCGGATCAAATGATGATTCGGCATGAGTAATGAGAGATGCCTTTTCCCATCACTTGTGAAAGTTACTGAGGCGAGTTGGAAGAGCAATTTGGCAATTGGGTAGTGGGACCCCCTAGAGTCAGTCTGTACAAGATGCACCTGAGAAGACGACCTGCCCATTTAAACCTCTTCAGAGAGGAAATAGCTAACCAATGCGTGCGGTGTACACTTATTTAGAACAGTCATTGTTTCATGGATCCTAGAAACCTAATTGCTCCATGTCCATCATCGGTGACATCTACATTAATTACATCCATTTTTTGCATAATTAGAGCACTTGTGCAGTTGGCAGGGGAGCTAGACTGGGCTTCCTGGCAGTCTGTTAATTATATCGCTCTCGAGGCTGTGTGCGAGATCCCCCACAGGCAGTATGGGGAGAACCAGAACGAGCTCCTCGTTCATAGATTACTGGTCCCTGCTCCAACCATGCTGTTAATCAAAAAGGTAAAAGGAGGAGCTACACCAGCCTGCTTGGCACTTTGAATAAAAGTATTGGGTATTTTGATGTTTTACCACCCAAAACATGCTCTTGAACTTGCGTATCTCTTCCCTGACAGTTTTCTCCTTAACAGATCAAAACTGCTCATAACCTCTGAGTAAGCCGCAATGCTAAATCCTTTATTTTATTTCTTCAATGCTTTGAGACCCTTCCCTGGAAATGGCCACCATGGAAATGAGAGTTTATTTCCCTTCCCTCACCGTGTCACAAGCCTTGGTTGAGATGTCTACACCGAAATGCCTGCGTTATCTGAATTGTCTTCTGGCACCCAGGGAAGGATGTGAGCCTTTAGCTTCTGGAGGGCTTAAGGCAATATCCTTCATGGATGTTAAATTTCCTCAAAATAATTGGAGTGCAGCAAACTTTTCTTTGTAGCCTATTTTTAATCCCGGATGTCATTACATTATTGAACTGAGCCATTGGCAGTGCCAGGAGAGTTTTGTCATAGCATCCTCTTGCTTTTGTGAAATTTGAGCAAATAATTGTTTGTGAACAGGAGTCTGTAAGAAGCCTGCGCTGCTGTGAATTGATGAGAGCATTTCCAAAGACATTTTGTAGTAATGATGAGCTGCTGACTTGCTGTGTGCTTGTTCCATTATATGCTAACAGCAAAAGTGACTTTCTATTGTACCTGACTGCAAATGATCCAGGCTCTTGTCTCTCAGCAGTTTTGATTCAGTATAAGCCAAAACTTGAGCATCAGGTGTGGCTGGCCTTAGCTCAGGGAGTCTGGCACATTGTAGAGTGTTTGCAGGATGTAGGAGTAAGATTTAGGGTTTTCCTTGAGTTTTGAACAACCTTCTTTGTTTTTTTACAAATATTTCCATGCTTTTTTTTCACAGATAATACAGAAGCATTTTATAAAGTATCATGGCCACAAGATGAATGACTTCTTATGTGTAGATGAACACTGAAACATGAAATAATTGTGTGTCCAAACTAGATGCTCACACCACTGAGGCAAAAAAATCCTTTTCCACCTCCGCGTCCTTCAACCTGTGAAATTAAATACAGTTCAATTTATTGTACCAATGAGCATTAGGGGTAATTAACCTGATAATTTGTCTCTTCCATTAAAAATAATTTAAAATCTGAAAAAAAGATGATAAAGGAAAAAGAAATTGAGCTCCTCGTTAGATGTTTCCAGGATGTTCTATTGGTCTGCAGCATGCTACTAATGCCTTTGGGTCATCAGGCTTCTTTCTAATATGTCTTTCTCTTCTTTCTCTCCCCGCTCAGTCCATTTTGGGGGTCCAATGTGAAGTGCAGAAGCAACTGAAGGCTTTTGTCACTCTTGAACGCTTTGAACGGATCTACAGCTCCAGCATCGCCGGGTGCCGGCAGGTCAAGAAGAACAAGAACTTTGCCTCTGGAGGCTCCATCTTTGGCAAAGGCGTCAAGTTCGCCATGAAAGATGGGCGCGTGGCCACCGACATTATCAGCGTGGCCAACGAGGATGGGCGGAGGATCGCAGCCATCCTGAACAACGCCCATTACCTGGAGAACTTGCACTTCACCATCGACGGGGTGGACACGCACTATTTCATTAAGCAAGGGCCATCAGAGGGTGACCTGTCCATCTTGGGCCTCAGCGGTGGACGGAGGACCCTGGAGAACGGCGTCAACGTGACAGTGTCGCAGATCAACACAGTGCTAAGTGGAAGGACTAGACGTTACACAGACATCCAGCTCCAGTACGGTGCGCTGTGCCTAAACACGCGCTACGGGACCACCTTGGACGAGGAGAAGGCCCGTGTCCTGGAGCTGGCCCGACAGCGCGCTGTCACTCAAGCTTGGTCCCGGGAACAGCAGAGACTGCGGGATGGGGAGGAGGGTATTCGCTCGTGGACAGAAGGGGAGAAGCAACAAGTGCTAAACACGGGCCGGGTACAGGGCTACGATGGCTATTTTGTGATCTCAGTGGAGCAGTACCCCGAACTCTCAGACAGCGCCAACAACATCCACTTCATGAGACAGAGCGAAATGGGCAGAAGGTGACAGAGAGGGTCGATGCGGTGACTTCTTGCCAAAGACAGCTACTCTTTTGTGGCCACTTACCTGACTGTGTTGTACTCAATCCTTTTTCTAAACTGAACAAGGCGGGGGGGGAGGAAAATAGAAAGAGAAGGAATAATACGGTTGCACTGTAACTCATGCAACATACTTTTTTTTTTTTTCCTCTTTAATTTGGCCTTCACACGTTTTTTGCAATGAACAGAAGGTATATTTTGCCGTAGCGTGATCACAGTGAAATTTACTGTCTCTTGTCCTTTCATTTTTGGGTTTCCCCCCCCCCCCCCCCCCCCCCCCCTTTTTTTTTTTTTTTTTTTTC